CGGATATGCTTCTGTTTGGTGTCAGTGCCAACAATGATCACAACCATCACCTTCTATTTGAGATGTGTATAAGCTGCTGCAGAAGAGACGAATGGGCCTTAACAAGGAGGAATGTCATGTTTTCTTACAACAGCGCTTGAGCTCACACTGATAATCGCACTAAGAATGCGTTACAAAAACTCGTTTGAGAGGCGTCATCGGACCTTGATTCAAGTACAAAAGCTCTCTTTTTCCAACAAACTTAATCTCAGTTAATAGGTTAAGAAGAAGGGAGTGGCTCTGCTATATACTTTTTTAACACAGAAATTTCACTAAGGCTCTGCCATTATGAATGTGAGAGGCGAAGCAGCATAAAAACCCTTTGATACCGTTATTTGATAGGGTGCGAATAAGAGGCAAATTGCATCCAACTTTCGGTAAGCGAAATAGGTATCGCAGATGCAAACAAAGTCATGGGTTATTCACATAAACCGGCCATTTTTTGCCGGCCGGAATGCTCATTGTAGGCAGATTTGACAAACCCTATGCAGATGAAGACGCTATTAAGGCACAAAGAGTAGACAAAGGCTGAAACTTCGATAATTCAAGGTGAAATACCAGAGCTGATGCATTTAATTTCCATGTGTATTTGGTGAATATTGCCCACTGAAATTCTCAAAAATTGCAGCTTACATGTGGCTTATTCTTAAGTTCCCACCTACACGGATCACAAGGGTTGGCCTTTCAGCATTCTAGAGATCAGCCACAATTAATTACGCACAATCAAAAGCGCGATACAATTCTACATTTCAGTAGACAAGCAACTATTTTGAGGGTACTTTATTAGGGAGTATTGGCCTGTTATATAGTGTGGATAACTATTTATTAAAGCCCAAAGTCAGGAACAGTAGATTTATGTTCTACTTTCGTATGCCTCGTCTGTATGGCCTGTATATGTGTTCTTAATAGCAGTTGTTGCATTTTCTGTTCAGAATACCCCTCATTATACTTCAAATCCACAAACTGTGTACAACAAAGAACAGTTTGTTTAAGAGAATTTTATAGTTAAAATTTGTAGAATTGAATTGGTAGCATAAAATTTCAGTTTATAGGTAACAAACTTCAATTCTCATACTTCTATTTACGTAACTGATTTGATATACTGAAAGTTAAAGTGAATGCCCCAGTACTTCCTCAACTCCATTTATGATCCTCAGGCAAGGCAGACGCAAAGTTCCACATCATTAAGACCGAGAGTAGCCTATGCCACTGCTACTGAGAGCCCCTCTGGAGTAGAGAAATCCACGAAGGCTCTGTGAAATCGTTTATATACCCTCCCTTTAGCTGTATCAAATGGACCAAAGAGGTCGTGAATGTCCTTCTCTCTTGCCATTGGCGAAAAGCCATCAACATCCAACTGATGGATGGAATCGACGTCATAGAAAGCCGCCAGAGTAAAGGCGTTTAGATCCACCAACATATGGCCTAGCAGTGGCAGTGGAGATCACTGCCGCACAACGAATAGCGGACATACAATGCGCATGTGGGGTTCTGCTAGATGTACATGCGAAAGGAATTAAAGATGGTACAAGATCTTTTAAACAAGACGCCAATATCGCTCAAATAGTGAGGTTGGGACAAAGAGATAGCCAACTTATTTCTGACATTATCTAGTTGGTAAATAACGCAGTGAGGCGAAATGCATTCACTGGATTAACTTTCTTAGACACACAGATAGGGGGGCCCGGGATAAACAAGGCGTTAGCACTTTTGCACCAAACTGAGGTAATGGCAGCCTTGCAGCTGCCTAACAATCTTACTGGGGTGGTGTAAAAGGAAGCTCATTTGCATCTTTATGCACTTTTCCATCGACTTCTGTCCTGGTTGGTGGTAAAGTTTATATCACTAGGCTTCTCCCAAGGTCCAAACAAATAATAGCCAAGACGAGCTCGGCTTCTGATATCTCCCAAAGTGGACACTTTGCCTTTGATAGAGTGCATTATTATCCATTTTGTGTTATTTTCGTGGACGAGGGTCATTCTCCGTGATCCCATTCTGGCTAAGGTTTATTTCACAGATCATTCTATTTAAACATGAGTTGTTCATGATTTTTAACAAAATAATGCCTTGTTAGCATTTATTTAGCAAAGATATTGAGCAGAATTAGTGCCAGAAAATGTCCGAAATAGGAGTTTATACGTTATTCTATTGGTTTGTTCTAAAAGCAATGCAGTCGTAAAGCTGTCATTTAAAATTCTCAAAAATAAGCTTCCAAGAATAAAAATAAAACCACACAAACGCAATTAAGTTAATGTCTGATATAGCCAGAGACAATGCTTTTAACACCACTCATTTTAAACATTATATGAGTTGTTTTCGACGGCTTAGTCTGGAACTCTCCTGACCAATGGACGCACGCGGTTACAACCATCCAGTGCAGAAAGCCTTCCCAGGTATGATTAATCAACTTTTGGTGATCGACCACCAGAGTAATACTAGCACTAATATACGGCATTGCAATTTGGACCTTTCTGCCACGGATAGACTTCGAGGCCCCCATGTCACTTGAACGTTTTTTGTGCCTGCATTCTTAATCTTAGCTTATGCTGGTACTAGAAGTGGAATTAATCAAGGCCGTAAAATGAGGGATAGCTCTAGCCAGCACTTTGTCACTGTTCTCATTGAGCCGACAGATTATTGAAGAAGGATAAGAGTGTTCCCATTCCTTCTTCGCTCACACATTCCGCCTCCTTCAGGGTTCAAATGTGGTGACACTTGTATCGGCAGCACCGAATCTAAAGTGTAATCACGTCTAGCCAGAAAGAATTTACTCCAAAGATTGAGTCTGGTGAAGCTGCAAGTGAACATGCAATTTTGTCAGCCTAATAGCCTCAACGAGAGTTGGTTAAAGCCATATCTGCAGCCGGAAGGAAAGGTAAAAAGACAACCTGAAGGAGATAGGTACAACGCATGCAAATGCTAGTGTGAGGACAGTAGCCTTAACATGCTTTTGCATCAGTTCGAACGACAACCCTGTGAGTGAGTAGGTGAGTAAGCCATTAACCTGAGTAAATGAGCAAAAAATGAAATGAATGATGAATAAATGAAATAAATACATGCTGAGTCATCCATCACTAACTGAACTGATATAACTTTAAGTTATTTCTCCGACTCAATTTGCCAGTGCAAAGTCAATCAGTTAGCATTCGCAAAATGTTATATTTGCTAACACTTAGCCTTACGTGACATGATGCCCCGCCTTTGGGACAAAACTAGATTAGCGGAGGGAGAGGGAGGTAGCGAGGTGTGGAAATAGATGGCAACCGCGGCTATAATGTGGTGGTGAAGCAAGAGAGAGAGCCGAAATCAATGCTTTAAATCTGGATAATTAGATAAACTTTATTGCTAATGCACAATTCTGTGCTACCCTCTGAGCTTTGGTGGCATTATCGCCTCAAGTAGGCATAGATCATGTTTGCCTCTTTTGCCCGAACATTAATTTAATTTCATTTTCGCTACTTTGCCACCAGCAACTTTTTTAGGTTTCATTTAGTGAAATGGGAGTTTTACATGGTCGCACAAATATTTGTGGATAAGGAGATGGACGACTACCAACCCCCCTGCCCTCAAGAATGGCTATAACATGCGAGTGCTGAAGTGCCATTACTTGTAACCGCCTTTCTTACACTGCCATAGTCAAAACGGTATTCCCAGTGAAAATTTCCCAAAGCGTTAAAAGAACAGCGCGCAAGCATTGCGCTGCATTTGACATACACATTAAGAGGTTTTCTTTTTGAAGGCAAACATCCAAAACATAGTCATGCAAAATTCTCTCTCTCATTTTCTTATTGCATTTAAAACAACGATTTTGGCATACGTATGACTTACTAGCAGGTGTGTGTAAGTAACTTCAATTGGAATTTAATTTTGTATAAGGTTGACATTTAACTGGTTTCTTTTCTGGGACAAAAAATCAGGTATGCACTGCGCAAGAATAAGTAGTATGTTGTATTTAAGCGAAATCTTAACGGCCCATTATGAACAACTTGTATGTGCCTTGATGGGTGTTGTCAACCTTATTATATTTTACAACATTTGTCTAACACTTTAATTTGGAATTCGGATAAGTTACTCGAATTAACCATGGCATCCAGTTTGGCAAATCATTTTTAAGGGAGTTAACTCTTTGGTGTAGTTACAGAGGTGCATGAATTGATGAAACCCATTATTAAGGGAATAGAGGTAGGGAGTAGGAAATTGTTCGCTTGTGCCGGGAGTCGAAGCCGGATCAATTGCTTGGGAGGCAGCCATGCTAACTGCTACACTACACACGCGGGTGTACGACGTTAAGATTGATTACATAAAATACGTCTTCTCTAACAACTGCTGACATTGGCTGCTGTTAACCATTAGTTTAGTCAGTCGCCAGCATTCAAATAATTATGTACTCAAGATGTTCTGTTTGCACATCAAATACTAAATTTAAGTTCGATTAATCATTGGCCTTTCCTGAATTGTCAAAATGACAATTACGTTTGCTAGTCGGCTTCACCTTTGTACAAAATGCGTAATTAGCATAGCTTCTCTTCTGGTTCTTCAATATTAAATTGGTCATTTAGATTGCAGGTTTTAATGAAGCATTGTGCATTCATTTAAATAAATATCTGTATACTGTACATATTTAGCTGTAAACCCCCTTTGCGCAATATTCTCACTTTTTTGCGGCTTCAGAAAATTGAACTTTGGCAAGAAGAATGGCATCGTAAAGTCCACATTTTAGGATAAATTAGTAGAACCTCCTGTTTTAATACTTCATTTAGAGTGATGGCCATATGCCCTAAAACATTACAAAAGGCACGCTCTTTGAGCCTGTGCAAATACTGCCATCATTTATGGATTGAATCAAATTGATGTTGTTTTCTTTGTTAAGAGCCTGGCATTTGCTTAATGGTTATACCTATGAAAAACAAAAGTTATCTTATTTCAGTAAAAAGTCGTGAAAAGGCGTAAACTCACCCATTTAACATTGTTGAATTAGTTAGTCTGTACGTGGGTCACCACTTTCCTGTCACGTAAATATCGACTGTGTCTATCCATGTCAGTGTATTTGGTGTGCTTTTGAGAGGTTGATAAGGGGTGGTTTTGAGGTGGTTTGGCTTAGTTACCATGTAAAGGCTGAATTCGTCACATGACTTTGTGCTAATTACGGTATGGGTTAGATGTACCCACTCCTTTGCTTGTGGAGATTCTCATCTGGATGTATTTCTGTTATTATGATGAAATAATAGTATCGTGATAGCTGCAATTTAGCGTCCACTATCGCCTCAAAATTTTTGGTTCTCCAACAATCACCAAAGTTAACGTATTGACTCCTTACGAGTGAATGTGACTTTGGAAATATGAAGTCTGGCAGAAATACATTAGTACGACTTCGGTTTTATTGCCTGTCCATGGTTTGACTAGTCTAGAATCCAGTTTGGGTGGGCGTCTATTGTCAACATCTATTTAAGGTCAAACGAAGGAATGCAAATGTTTTGAAAAGTCACAAAACTTTTCGTTCCTCTGCCAACAGTTTGTGGAGGATGCAGTCTATGTTTGGTGATCTACTTGACCAAACGCGGCTTCATTAGAAGTGTGGATGTTGTTTTCAACATTGTAACGATATGTGTAATCCGTAATCCATATTGTCTTGAGGGAGTAATTGTCATCCTTCTGCATGCATTGTAAGTCTCTAGCCTCTTTGGACTAGGCATCAAGTGTGTCGTGCAATCAATCCCAGTACACTTGCTTCTGCTTCTACACTTGCTCTTCTCGCTCTCTCTCGATCCTTTCGACAACTGCGTGCGTCACATATTTAAGTATGCTGCCCACTAGGCAGGCTAACTTCCATAAAAGTAGAAGTGTTATTTAGTTATTTGACATCGGCATAGCATGAACTCCACATAAATGTCCCGTGAGCTGCGCCACTTGACCTACACCGATTAGATATGTATAAAGTTAAACACTCTATTCGACATATCATCAGCTTTGAATCCGTGTATGTAGGTATAATATTGATGACATTGACCTGCGTATGGAAGTGGCATTATATTAGTTGACATCCGCATGGCATGAAATCCATATAAATTGTAGAGGTGTTGCGTAGTTGGCCTCCGTAAAGTCGATTTTCTATGCTTCGTCAGGACATTCAACATCAACGTACCCTAGAATCTGTATAATTAGGCATAATTTTAATAAAATAGACCTGTGGATAGAATGAAATCTG